TTTATAAGTAAATGAAGTCCCTGAAAGTTCACCAAAAGAATGTTTAGACATTTTACCAGTTGAGAAAGTTTTGAAGAAACTTTGGCTCAGCCCTTTTAAATAAAACATATACACTCTCTCTCACACACAGACACCAAGCATTTTTATTTGCAGCGTTTTGAAATAAATGAACCACCCTTGTTGTGAACGGTTTAACTCTTCCGACATGTGAGCTCCAGAAGGCAAGCACCAGATGTGGTGTGCAAATATAGAAGTGGCATATTGTAAGCATGTTGACACTCTTTCTCATTTTATCACACTGAATTTTATGTGTGACAGGTTATATTTAAAGCTCTAATTTCCCAAAGACTGCTAAAAAATGATTGAGATGAAACAAAAACAAGAACTGCATAGGGTCCCCCCCCCACTACATATTTCATGAAATTGCTTAGGTATACATATAGTAGAGTTGCCAATCAGTGAATATTGTTGCATATCAAAGATTCCAGATCAATTCAAACCATCAGCATCTCTAGATAGGGCTAGTATTGTATTTAGAAGCCTGGAGTTCTTAGAATTAAGAATGCAGATACCTCAGACAGATGGGTGGATGGAGTGAGAGAGAGAGAATTTATTAGGATCCAGTATACAGGCTTTATTATTCTGTAGTTTTTATTATTTTTAACTTAGAGCCAGCGTGGTGTAGTGGTTTGAACCTTGGACTATGACTCTGGAGACCAGTGTTTGATTCCTGGCTCTGCCATAAGAACCCACTAGGTGACTTTGGGCAAGTCACATTCTGTCAGCCTTGGAGGAGGGCAATGACAAAACTTCTCTGAAGAAACTTGTCATGAAGACCTTGTGACAGGGTCATCATAAGTTGGAAATTACTTGAAAGCACACAGCAACAACACCACATTTTATTGAAAGATGCAGCCTTTATTTTTCTGTAGATTCTTCCCCATTGCAGGTCATCAGCCAAATGTTCTAACCTCCCCAGACATCCCATAGAAACCAGAGGTGTATTATCTATGTTTGGACCCAGATATTCTAAAAAAAACTTGATGGGGATCATGGGATGATTCTGCTGCAAACATTACAGCTAGGAATGACTCTTTTCACACACTGGCTGCAATCCTGTGTGGCTTGGTGTAGTATAGTAGATGTGGACCTGTGCTAGGAAGAGCTGTACTCAACCCACTTGACCACATACATGCTCAGCTATCCTGTGCTTCATGGGGAGTGATCAGGATTAGGAAAGTGTCTAGCTATGTCCTCATAGCCAGGCATGAAATGATGACATTGACAATGAGGTCCATTGGGACTCTTTGGAGGTTCAGTATTGCTGCCATCATTTTGTGTCTGCCTATGGGGAACACAGCCAGATGCTTCCACAAACCTGCCTGCTTCCCATGAGACATATAATGGCCATACTGGGAGGAGTCAGAGGCTATATGGTAGAATCATAGAATCATAGAATCATAGAGTTGGAAGAGACCACAAGGGCCAACCAGTCCAACCCCCTGCTATGCAGGAACTCCCAATCAAAGTATCCCTGACAGATGGCCATCCGGCCTCTGCTTAAAGACCTCCAAGGAAGGAGACTCCACTACTCTCCGAGGGAGTGTGTTCCACTGTCGAACCGCCCTTACTGTCAGGAAGTTCCTCCTAATGTTGAGGTGGAATCTCTTTTCTTGCAGCTTGCATCCATTGTTTCGGGTCCTAGTCTCTGGAGCAGCAGAAAACAAGCTTGTTCCCTCCTCGATATGACATCCTGTAAGTCGTGTGTGTGTGTGTGTGTGTGCGCGCGCGCGCGCGCAAGCTGGGTATTGCAGAGGGAGGAGGGAAATGTCAGCCTTTGCAGCACCCATAAAGGACATACACAGGTGTAAAATATACTTGTTTATGTATGCCACTAACAGGGTGTCAATGCTTCTTCTGCTCCTATAAAAACTCTTGCCTCCATCGTGATAGTGATGCACCAACTGCTCTTTTTATCAATTTCTGCAATTTATGGGAAAAACATCTTTTCCCCATCTGTGTCCAAACATGTACCCAGAGAGAGATAAAACTAAATAATTTATCTCATTTCATTTTTTGGACATTGTTTTAACCATGCATGTATGCATGTGTTTGTGCACCTTTGGGATGTATTTTCATAAAATCTGTTTGGCAATCATACCATAAGCAATAAGCTGAATAAATGGGCCGACACAACAAGTACAAAAGGAGGGGCTGATGGTTCCAAAGACATAAAACAGACCATCCAATGCTATGACTTTTGTCACAGCACATGCCATAAGGTGATAGGTCTTGGAATTTCCATTTTAGTGTTTTAACAGAATGATAAAAACAAGTCCCAAAAGTGTGTGAAATCTCTCCAGCACTGGCACTGTTGGGTTGCTGGGCTAATTGTTTGTAAAAGATGTCACTTCTCATTGACAGTGAGAAATTTGAAATTTTATTTCACCCTTAATTCTTACTACAGATAATGATAAAATAAGAGGACCTAAAAAGTCATATGGATAGTTTTGATGAAGTAGGGAATCACAGAGTTGGCTTAGCTTAGATATGCTCTGGGACCCAACTGTGAAATAGCTTGAGCAACTGGTATATTTTGGACTTATCATGATAAGACATTACTTACTAGAAAAGACAATAATTCTTAGCAAGGTAAAAGGCAACAGAAAAAGAGGAAGCCCACATTCTAGATGGATAGACTCAATCTAGGAAGCCATGTCCCTGAATGTGCAAGACCTGAACAGGGTTGTTCATGACAGGGTGATTGGAAGTGTTAGCATATGTGATTTTTCATAAAATTTTGGACACACATGGAGTTCCCTCTATGACTCCAGACTGACCTATGAGGGATGTCAGCCATAATCCCCTAGATGGCAGGTCATGTAAGCACTGAGAGATCTGCCCAGAACTATTGGAAAATTCCCCACCAGACAGGTTTGGGAGATGCCAAATTAAGTCTCACACTTAATGGGGCAGTGATCAAATTTGACTGCACCCTTTTTTCTAGCCATCCCTTCCTTGATAGTTTTGAAACCAAATGCATTGTTTAGACCATACTCACACCTAGGGTAACAGAGCTAAGACCATCAACGCCTTTGTCCAACAGCCATTAAGTTCATCGCCAGAAGGCAGAAATTTCCTATAAGAAACCTTTGGATTTTTAGGTTCCATGTGCTGTCTTGAGAGTGCATGCAAACTCCACGTCGGTCTGTACTCTGATTTAGCTCCCGCGGACACCCCCCCATTTGGTGGCTGTCCTCCATCAATCTTCACAGCAAAGCCTGGAGAAGCCTTCGGAAGTATTTCCCCTCAGCCTACTTCTTCTCAAGCTATCCCCACTTTCACCCATCTTTCCTTCTAGAGTGTGTTGTGTGTGTGTATGTGCTATATATGGATGCGTGAATAAATATTTAGACTTTAATTGGAGGAGTCCGTCTCTGCATCTTCCATTGAGAGATCTCTTAGTCTTCTGGTATACATAACAGTACACAGTCCCGCGGGGCTTTGTTAGGACCCCACTCTTGCATATTTTGAGCTAATTATAAATTCCCCTAATTAGATCCTTCCTAACAGAAGTCATAGTGAAGAAATCTGACAGGAAGAAAATCAACTCATTTGAAATGTAGTGCTAGAGAAGAATTCTACAGATATTTTGTTTTAGTTGTGTGCCTTCAAGCCATTTCTGACTTATGGCAATGCTAACACAAACCTATCATGGGGGTTTCTTGGCAGGTTTCTTCAGAGAGGTTTGCCATTGCCATCCTCTGAGGCTGAGAGTGTGTGACTTGCTCAAGTCACTCAGTGGGCTTCCATATCTGAGCTGGGAATTGAACCCTGGTCTCCAGAGTCATTGTCCAACTCTCCAACCACTACATCATACTGGCTTTCCCTCCAGACTGCTACAAAGACAAATTAATAGAGCAAATCAACCCTGATCTCTCATTAGAAGCAAAGATGACTAAATGGAGGTTGTCGTATTTTGGACCTATCATGAGACAATGTCACTCATAAAAGACGATAATGTTTGGTAAAGTGGAAGATAGTAGGGAAAGAGGAAGACGGAATTACTGGTGGATTGACTTGATCAAAGAAACCATTGTCTTGAGTTTGCAAGACCTGAACAGGTCAGTTATGGTCAGGGCTCTTGGAGGTTTGCCTTTTCCAGGGCCACCACAAGTTGCAATTGACTTGATAGCAAATAACAACAGCAACAAATGTGTCTTTCCCCAGTCCACGTAACTGCAGGGAACAGAGACAGAGTTGTTAAAATTTAGCCAGTATGCAAATGGAACTGCTTAAATATCCCAGTTATCTCTGAAGGCAATGTATTTTCCCAGAGGGTTTCATTGTGGATCGAATCTGTCAGTTGCAATAGTTTGTGTTCTCTAAGCTTTCTGCCTCATCATTACAGTGTTGCCATTCTCTTCTCATTTTAGCCAACTATGAATAATTCATTCTGATCAATTTGGTCACTTTAAAAAAAAAGGAGCAAAGAAAAAAAAGGAAAAAATCCTGCAGATAGCCTACTAATTAAATCGCATTAAGGGTAGTCAGGTGAATATCTTATTTAACAAATTAGCCTCTTCTGTCACCATAAGATGTACTTTCTAAGTTAATGACTGGGCATTTTAATAAGAATGAATGTAATTATTTTACAGTCCATGCTCTTTAGAGACCAGTATCCTTCATTTTCATGAACAAAATCCTCTAGTGTGCCCACATTATTGTAACGGAGAATTCTTTTAAAAAGTCACAAATCATGCCTATAATGTAGGCAAAATGGTCTTCCTTCTAAGATAAATAACACAGGGGAAATGGTGGCATTAGAGAAAGCACTGAACCTTTAAAAAATGATAAGAGTCATTCAGTTTTTTCCCCTCCCCCCTTCTACTTAACAAACTCCTTTGCTTCCTATTGCTTCCAATTCTCTCAGGAAGTTAAATAGAAAAGAAAACAATCTAATGAAGGCTGGGAATGGAAGCACAGGAAAGTGGGCAGAGAAAACGCTCCAATTATTCTCCCAAGGTCAATCGTGCTGTTCTAGAAGAGCAGGATAGCGCTTCCAAGGGAACACCAGAGTTGTGAACTGAAGAACTATGCTGACAGTTGGCTGTCATGAGTCATGACCCTGTCCCTTGACAGCCAGTTGCCTTAAACCAGGGGGAATCATGCTTATATATCCTGTAGCTTCTCCCATTTCATGAGAGAATCATCAAGGATGGACTTTTTGGATGTATCTTTCTGAAGGAGGGTAGGTGACCAGTTACTAAACCCAGGACTGGAAGTTCAGGTTGCTCAGTCATGGAAAAGCCCAATAACTTCTTGCAGTGAAAAATGTATCAGTTTCATTTTCTCAGAATCCCACTATAGGGGATGAAATAATGTAAAAGAAACTACAAAGTTCATGGCTAATGCGGGGCTGGATTGCATGATCCTTGGGGTCTCATATTCTATGTTTAAAACTGTGCACTTGCAAAACAATTGTAAAAGGTTTTTAGTTTTGGATTCACTGGAAAAGACTGTTTCAGAGCCAAAGAGATAGGAAAATGAATGTTTGTTTATGTCAATTAGTAAGATTGATGGTTTGGATTGGAAGTAAAGTAAGGAAACTAATAAGATAGGACCTAATTAATGAGTCCAGGTGTTGATGAGTAATGCCAAAATAGTTCATGCATGGAAGTGTAACATGTAATGAGTAGAGGTGGAGATTGAAACTATATTTTGTAACCAATGAAAATATTG